CAGCCATATATGCATGATCGTCAAGATTGTCATCTTGCCTACCCAGAAGGCAGCAAAAGTACTCCACCTTTGTGGTTTGAAAATGTGAAGAATGAACATATGGTAGGATGCATGCTAGGTAGCTTGTGAGCACATTACATAATGCAGCAACTGATTCTGAAATGTTTGGGAGTATGTCCCTCATGTGTATAGTACATATCTCATTGTAAACTATTTTATGTCAGGAAGAAAGGAAGCTAGTAAAACTGCCACTAGTGCCTTGGTTGAGAAAGCAGCTAGTATATTAAAAGAGAAAGCTGAGTCAGTCACTACAATGCAAGAGCCAGGTAAGAGAAAACAATGCTTGGTATGTCATGGCTGAATAGGGTTTAATAATGTTTTATTAAACACTCCTGCAATAGCAGTGTTTTCGTTGTTTACCTTTTTAGCTAGTTGATATAATATAGGAATTACTATACCAGATTAGCTCAGTGGTCCGTATAGTCCAGTATTCTGTCTCTGACAGTTGTTTCTAGCAGGTGCTTCAAAGGAATGTGCTAGAAATCCTCTAGTGGACAATTATGAAATAACCTGTCAACAAGATATATTTATTCCTAAAACCATTAGTGGTTGGTTTATACTCTGATGTATGAGGGTTCATATCCTTGTGCGTGTAAATATTCTTTTCTAATATATCTGGATGTTTTCACCATCCATACAAATGTCTATTCCTTTTTTGATTCCTACTAAGCTCTTGGCCTCATGGATATCTTATGGCAGAGTTATACAGATTGTGTGGTGTTCCAAATTTTTAACAGTTTTAAATTTGTTGCCTTTCAGTTGCTGTGAATGTCCCTGTGTTCTTTTCCTATGAGCAAAGCTAAATAAGAGCACCCGATTTACTTTCTCTGTACTATTCATTACATTGTGTACCTCTATCATGTCCCCTCTTGTTTCTCCTCTAAACAGTCCTAGTCTTTCCAATCTCTCCTTACAGTAGTCTTTCCATGCTTGTAATCTTTTTCATCACCTATTTCTGGACACATTCTACTTCTGCTGTAGTTTTTGGGGCAAGGTTGACAACTAAACACATTATTCCAGCGAAGGCATATCATTGTTTTATATGATGGTATTATAATACTTCTAGTATTATTTTCTGTCCCATTCTTTATATGTCCTAACAGTTTGTTTGCTTTTTTGACCATGGATGCTGTTACCCGAAATTGGGCCAGCTAATAAGCTTAGGGAGGACTAATGACCCACCAGAGTTTGGCAGAAAGCAGCACATTTATTATACTGATTGCTGTGCCTGTCCTGGGAGCGTGAGTGCAAGTGTGTGTGTGACCCCAGCCCCTTTTCTTTTGAGTTTAGCTATCAGTATAATAAACGTGCTGCTTTCTGCCAAACTCTTATGCAGTGTCCATGCATTGGGTGTGTGAGTGCTGCCTAATTAGAGTCCCAGACACCTTGTTTACCTGGGAGCTCTTCTGATCTTTCAGCTATTTAACCAGCCCATTTATCCCACAAGCATTCCAGGAGAGAGGGGGAAAGCCACTTCACAGGTATTCAGAGAGGGAGAGGAGACAAAAGAGGGGGGGGGAGTGTAACAGACCTTTTGAGCATAAAGGTTATACATAGCATAGTTATACAGTGCATACAGATCACTGCTGCTCCTACAACACTCCACCCCTTGATCTATGATTATTACAGTAGTTGTTGTCGTCGTAGGGCACAGGTGATCTGTTGCAAACAAACCAAACAGTTATAACCAGGTGAATATAACTAAAACACAATTGATTAAACACCAGATATAATATAAACACAAATACAAACAATCACAATTATCATAATTGGGAATACAATAAAACCATCACCATTACAATAATTGGGTACATTGACAAACAAAATGAGGCCCAAGTTTGATGCTGCAATAGCCATCAAACAATAAAAGTGAACCCTAACCCTTAAATGCACACAACAAATAAGATTTCTAGGAGTACCACAGGTGTTATGCAAGTTTAAACTGATTTGGAAGATACATAGTAACAGAGAACTTCGTGAAATTGCTGATACTTAAACTAACATTTAGTTGCTAAAATGTTGCAGAATCCTCTATTACTAACAGTTCTTTTCAAGAGGTCTTGGGGGGGGAGCAACAATTCCAAGACCTGAAAGACGGGGCCCTACAATTACGCGCCAAGGTCAAAAATCCCACTAGGGGGTGATGATGGGGGCCCATGAACAACCCTTAAGGGCTTGGGGAAGTAGAACCAGGGTGCATAGAGGAAAGTGTGGAATTAACAATGCAAGAAAATGTTACTAACAATACAAATGTATTAATAACAAAAACCAACAACAAAATGATTATTAGAGAACCTAACAAAAAATAAACCTGATGCATTGGGGACCAAAGTCTTTTGGACAGAGTGGATGTGATAGATAATTTGGTTGGAGATGTGGGAAGTAGAGAAAGGAAAAGGCATTTACCCTGTCTAGTGTAGTATCCCCTCTCTCTCTTTGGACCCAATGCTAGCACAGGACACCCACCAGAGACAGATGCAGAACATGGAACACTGAAAACGGACTTTGTCATGATGCTATAACCATGGTATTTCTGTAATTCTTTAGCTGGTATCAGCTCTTCTGATGTTCTGGTTCGGAGACTGAAAGATAGAAGCTTAGGAACAAATTAGCACAGTGCTCCCACTGGGGCAGACCCTGCTTGTTTGAGTTGTCCGCAGTGTACCCATTTTTTCTCCAGGGTTTTTGCTAACTTTATTGCTTGCGCGGGAGTCAACTCGGTCTCTGCCACAGTGTGTCTGGTACTTGGAGCTTCCCTGCCCCCTGCGGGCGCAGGCCCATAGTTTCGGACCACCCTTTGGACTGCCACAACACAGTGTCTGGGGTCTGGCCATCCGGGGTCCGGATCTGGGGGATCCGGATCTTACCAGATATCCCCGTCCCAATCATCATATGGTCCCGCACCCCTCTGGGCTTTCACCCCAATGGTGGCGACCCAAGCTGAATAAGCCCCCCGGACCCTGTTCTCCCGGGTGGACCCCTTCAGGACCAGCTCCTTCAGGCAGGTAACTGCCTCGCTCAGAGTGGCATTCTCTACTTTCGCAGTCAGAACCTGCGCCTTTCACATATCCAGTTCCTTATCCAACTCATGAATTGTACTCCCAGGTGGAACCGCCTCTGGCATCCAAGGGTCTGCCCATTTCTTTTGGAGTCCTTCTAACACCCCCCCAGGCGGCGGCGCCGTTCCCCAAGGTGGGGTGTCTTCTCGCTCAGGCTGCTTTGCCTTTTTCTTCCCCTTGCCCCACAGTGGCATACTTAGCAGCGGCGTCCTTTTCTCCCTGCAGTGGGTTGCTAGCCTACCACTTTTTCACGCAGGCTTGAGCCGGACCCACCCAAGAGAGCATCGGGGGGCACCAGGGGACCCCTACTCTTGGGTCAATCCTCCACTAAGCTGCCCGCATTCTCCTCCATTAATGTTACCCGAAATTGGGCCAGCTAGTAATCTTAGGGAGGACTAATGACCCACCAGAGTTTGGCAGAAAGCAGCACGTTTACTATACTGATAGCTAAGCTCAAAAGAAAGGGCGGGGGGGTCACACTCACACTCGCATACTCACGCTCCCAGGACAGGCATGGCACTGGAGATGTCAGGATTCTTTAAGGTAAGTGTCCCACAGCACAGCGATGGACGGTGCGATGAAGGTAAGGCTTCCCGAGGCACCATGGAATGCAACGCAGCGAGCCGTTGTCCAGGTGAAGGGCCTTTACGGGAGATACAAGCTTGTGAGTGCACTTCTGAGCACATGGCCCTTTCCCTTTTAAAGACCTGCTCATCATGGCCTGCGACTAGAGATGACTTGGACACGTCTGGTTGTTCACACTCCACCTCGGGCAATGTCCATGGATTGGGTGTGTGAGTGCTGCCTAATTAGAGTCCCAGACACTTTGTCTACCTGGGAGCTCTTCTGATCTTCCAGCTGTTCAGCCAGCCCATTTATCCCACAAGCATTCCAGGAGGGAGGGGGAGGGGGAAAACCACTTCACAGGTATTCAGAGAGGGAGAGGAGACAAAAGCGGGGAGGGAGTATAACAGACCTTTTGAGCATACTGGTTATACATAGCATAGCCATACAGAGCATAGAGATCACTGCTGCTCCTACAAAGATGCTCAGTGCGCAGAGGTTTTCATTGAGCTGGCCACAGTGATGCCCTACATCATTTTTCAGAGTGGTTGCAGTTAATTTAGCACCCAGCAGTGTGCATGAGTAGTTCATATTATTCGGTCCGATATGAATTACCTCGCATATTTTAAGTGTCCTTTCATTATACATACATCTGGGAAATTAGTTTAAGATAGTGGCCATATGAAATTCTCTTCCACTGTTTTTAGCATGGACTGTACCAAAAATAATTGTACTTCTATGTAGCATTAGAAAGTTGGACAATAATCAGGGATTAGGCATTTTGTTATGTGATTAATTTCAAATTGTACAGTGCACATATTGCATATTTTTGTAGTAGTTACTGGATAACACTTCACAATTTTATGACTGAATACCATTTAATGGCAAGTTATTGGGACTGACTCTGTCAGTTATTTGCCATATAATCCAGAAAGCATACTTTAGTAACTGCTTAGGTTTTACTAGGTAAATACAGTATCATTTAACTACTTACCCTGCTAGTAAATGATACTATATATTTGTAAATTGCTCCTGAATATAATAAACTTTCTTGTGTTTGTAACTTACATAGTTCAGTCTTTTGCTTCTTGGGATGAAAAACTTGCTGTGGTGATTTTTTTGTTTGTTTGTACTTCACTAATTATGTGAAAAGCCATTGTAAATTTGTAACTTTCCTTATTTGCACTCAAGATATTTCTTTAAACCAGAGTAATCCTTAAACAGGTAGTTAAGTGGACTAAATATTTAGCACAGCAATTTATTCTAAACCTTTATTATATCATTAATTTCTTTCTCTTGTAAATTCTTTTATGCTAGGTGTACTGGAAACGAATAGTCCTGCAGATAACGTTTCAGATGAAAAAGCAGCTAGCATATTACATGCAAAAGCTGAACCTAGACCTGCAATAAAACACCAAGGTGAGAAGAATAAAACCTTGTTCAGTACCTCAGAATTCCTTATTTGGATCTATGCTCCTGAGTACATCTAAGAAGTTAAACTGTGGTTTTTTTGTGTGCTTAATTCAGATGCTCCCCTATAATTTAATCTCACTGTGTAACTACTAGTGAACTTCACAGTTCAGAAATCACACCTTTCCTAGTAAGGTCTTTACTCCCTACTGAAGCACAATGCCTTTCAAGTCCAAACTTGAAGATAGTAGGTGGTATGCTAATGAGTGGTAGAGATGAGCCACTCCACAACTGTTATCAAGTTGTATTCATGAATAATGCGATAATAGATTTGAGACCCTTGTTAGATATCCTAAGGCTTTATTTTGTGGTCTATTTTTGTGTGTGTCCTTCTTATGGTGACCAACCAACTATTGTTTTTCTCCCCACAAACTGTGCTCTGTTGCTGGCATGCTGTGAAGGGGATACAAACAATGCTGAAAGGGAGAGGGAAGCGTGGTAACAGACTACATTGTTGTTGCACTTGCACTCTAATGCAGGCAGAACTGTCAAAAGAAGCAATCGGCATGCTCCCTTATTTCCGAGGAGACACAGGGCAGCTGCACCCCCATCTTGATGACTGTTCCCATCCAAGAATTGAGTGATTGCAGGATGTCCCCATTTGTTCAAGTAATTGGGTTCCCCCCTGCAAATCTACAGACTGTTGCAGCCTGCTAACCCTGTACAAGATTTTAGAGCAAATTCCATCTCCTCATCCTTATTTCACTATTTTAAAAACCCACTTAAGAGTTCCCGGGGATTACAATATAAGAATACCTAATTAACAGGGTAAGTAGATACTGTAACCAAATTAAAATTTACAAACAAATAAAAAATGCAGGCTAAACGGGCTGCAACAGTCTACAGATACGCAGGGGGAAACCCAACCACTTGAACAAATGGGGACATCCTGCAATCACTCAATTCTTGGATGGGAACAGTCATCAAGATGGGGTGTACCTGGCCTGTGTCTCTCCTGAGATAAGGGAGCATGCTGATTTCTTCTTTTGACAGTTCTGCCTGCATTAGAGTGCAACAATAATAGTATGTATGTATGTAGACACGGGCTAGTGGGAAGGTTGATGCCACATATGCAGGGGATGAAAGTCTGGTCCCATTACACCTGTGGCTTTAAATAAGGCCTAGTAGGTATCTCACTCTAATGAAATCTAAATGGCAGTTGACCATCTTTCACAGCTGTGAGAACTCCCCAGGCCATTTTCCTTGCATTTTGTTGAGTATAGGAAGCAGTATATATTGCATTCCTGGAGAAATGTATTCTAATAATTTTATACTCCTCTTTTTTAATTTGAGTGTGCATAAGACTAACTCACAGAGGTTTGGGATCAGATCTTAAATAGGATGACTCCATTGACTTCAGAATGTTTCCTTTGTGGTTAGTTCAGGGTGTGTATGTTGACACTACGGAGACTATACTGGCATAGCTAGGTTGCTGTCAGCGTATGCCGACGAAAGGGATTTTTCCATTGGCGTAGGAACACCAACTCCCCAGGCAATGGTAGCTATGTCGAAGGAAGCATTCTTCTGGGGATGGAGTTGTATCTACATTGGAGGTTAGGTCGGCATAGCTACAGCACTCAGGAGCGTGTTTTTTTGTTTTGTTTTTTTTTTCACCCCCTGACCAATGTAGATATGTTGACCTAACTTTTAAGTGCAGACCAGGTCTAAATAATCATAGATCTGTATATAAGATACAAGCTGCCCTGCAGAGCTAAGAATGTTCACAACAGTTGAAATTCAAAATGCATTAAAATACAATTGATAATGACTAATAAGAAGTTTCTTGGTAAGTTAGAGATTTATTTGGCAGTGATCAAGAAGTTCAATCACAGTCTTCCAGCCTTCTTGTTTGTAATTGTAACCAGAAGTGCCTAGTGAAAGAATCATTTAAAACAGTTTTGAAACACATTCTTCATTGGTTGAAATAAATCTTTCTGCAGAAAAAACAAATTGTAAAAATTATTGGCAATGAGTTTAAACTGTATATACCAATTTTCTTTCTCTTCTGTGGCTTTTGACACATTTCATTATGGTGTTCATCTCTAAATAAGGCTTTTTACAAAATATAGCACTTGCTCTCTATATTCCATGTGTTTTACTTTCATTTGTGTGTCAGCAAGTATTTTCATTTTAGAAGATTAAATCTTAATTCTGACACCCACAAATATTCTAACTGCCATTGCAGTGAGAAAATAATAATAAAAAAATGCTATTAATTACATTATTTCAGGAGGTCATGGCACCTCTGACTCTCTGTGTTCTATATTAGGAAGGTTCGTTGTCAAACTTCTTCAAGTAGATGCAGACATGTATTCCACTTAAGTGTGTGCCCCCAGAGCACCGGAGCCAGAGACTTTTGCCTAGCAGTACCCAAAGAGCGGCAGCACTGGCGCCTCATGGCTATGGCCCTCCGCTGGCTATATGAGTTGGCAGTGCCCCAATGCCCCTTAGTTCCTTCTCACCGCCCGTGGCTGGAGTCGGAGCTCTGTGTGTGGTTGTAGTCTCATAACCTCACATTTAGTCTTAGCCTACTTTATTTTTGTATATAGTTAGTGTTAACAGTTAGATAGTGTTAGTGGATAGTTAGTGTTCCCTGGTGATGTCCTCACTGGGGTTCAAACACTGTCCTTTGTATGGATGGGCGACCCCCCCATATGTAGTGCTTGCTTTGTTTCAGCAAGGCACACCTTAAGGAGCACTGTTTGGTTTGTAAATTTTTTAAAAAGTGAACTCAGGTGGTGTGAGACCTTCACCTCAAGCAGCATCTACTTGAACAGGCCATGCGGCCTCATCCCGTCCTGAGGCCCTCCTTGGCCAAAGATCACCCTCCGGCTTGGAGAGTGCTACTGCCTCTTGTTCTGAGGCAGGCACCTCGCCAAAGAAACGGAAGAGCCGTTCTGTCATCAGCGCCAAAGAAGAGCTATCATAAGACCAATCGGAACTGCTCCAGGACACAGGGTGACTCCTCTGCTGCCTCTGGGAAAAGCATGGACTGGCCTGGGGCCGGTTCTGGGGCATGGGATAGCACAGGTACCTCTGACCCTTCCCCAGTACTGAGTGAAAAGTGCAGAAACCCTGTACCATTGACTCTGGTCCCGGCCTCTGGATGTCTATTGAGGGAGTTGCCAGTACCAGTTGTGTCCATGTCGTTGGCATACGAGGCAGCCGCAGACCTCCTCTGCCTTTCGGTCCCAACCTCACCGTTGGTTCAGACTTTCCCAGGGCTGTGCCCCCTATGCACCTCCAATAGAGTGAGCCGCTGAACCCTCATTTCTGTCAGCACGGTATCCAGACGCTCCTCTGGTAGGGATGGAACTGGTACTGGAATCAGTGTGGGGGACCTCAGCACTGGGACCCACTTTGGCCCTGCCCATTCGAAGCCGCAAATGCTCCCTTGGCAGCTCTGCCCCCTTTCAGCGTCTGTGCATTTGGGTGCTCTGATACGACATTTGCACTGTGACCGACACTGTTTGTGTCTCAGGCATGCTCGGTACTGACAGTACCACCTTCATCAGGGGCACTGATTCCCACCACATTCTGGGCAATGGATGAATCGGACCACCTATTGGCTCCTCTGTGCATTGCTCTGCCTGTGTAGCCAAGATCCCAGGGCTCTGATTCTGTGGTGGAATCGTCGTCCATCCCACTCTGATGAACGCTGGGGGCCGCCAATGGACCAGTATGGCTCCCAGGGTTGGCATGTGCTCCATGGCCAGGAAGGAATTTCCTGGCCTGGCCCCTACTGGCCACCATTGCACTACTTGTATCAGTGGCCTTGGACTCAGTGGGATGCTTCTTGGTCAGAGAGATCCTGCTGAAAAGTGAAGTCACCTGCCAGGTCAGTGGTGATGGCTCTGGATCAGCCACAACCCCAGGCATCAGTCATCTTCCTACCCAGAAGGAAGTCCTCCCAGGTACATCTTCCTGGGAGCGAGAGTGAGTTTTGGCTCAGCCAAGACCTTCATCCTTGTCGCTGGATGATCCTGTGTTGCTGGGTTCGTCCTCCCCTTGTATCCAGGAAGACTTTAAGGCATACCATAAGAACATAAGAATGGCCATACTGGGTCAGACCAAAGGTCCATCCAGCCCAGTATCCTGTCTACCGACAGTGGCCAACACCAGGTGCCCCAGAGGGAGTGAACCTAGTAGGTAATGATCAAGTGATCTCTCTCCTGCCGCCCATCACCACCCTCTGACAGACAGAGGCTAGGGACACCACTCCTTACCTATCCTGGCTAATAGCCATTAATGGACTTAACCTCCATGAATTTATCCAGTTCTCTTTTAAACACTGTTATAGTCCTATCCTTCACAACCTCCTCAGGCAAGGAGTTCCACAAGTTGACTGTGCGCTGTGTGAAGAAGAACTTCCTTATATTTGTTTTAAACCTGCTGCCCATTAATTTCATTTGGTGGCCCCTAGTTCTTATATTACGGGAACAAGTAAATAACTTTTCCTTATTCACTTTCTCCACATCACTCATGATTTTCTATACCTCTATCATATCCCCCCTTAGTCTCCTCTTTTCCAAGCTGAAAAGTCCTAGCATCTTTAATCTCTCCTCATATGGGACCCGTTCCAAACCCCTAATCATTTTAGTTGCCCTTCTCTGAACCTTTTCTAATGCCAGTATATCTTTTTTGAGATGAGGAGACCACATCTGTACGCAGTATTCAAGATGTGGGTGTACCATGGATTTATATAAGGGCAATAAGATGTTCACCATCTTATTCTCTATCCCCTTTTTAATGATTCCTAACATCCTGTTCGCTTTTTTGACTGCCGCTGCACACTGCATGGATGTCTTCAGAGAACTATCCAAAATGGCTCCAAGATCTTTTTCCTGATTAGTTGTAGCTAAATTAGCCCCCATCATATTGTATGTATGGTTGGGGTTATTTTTCCCAATGTGCATTACTTTACATTTATCCACATTAAATTTCATTTG